TTGAATTGAAAATTTCTATACCGAATACCAAGATGAAAGAAAAAGAGACTAAAATTGTTCACAATTACTTTACAAGTTACTATTTTCACCGAAGAAAACGTGGAGCGATGTTCCAATTTACTCTTCATTAGGAATTTAAAACCGAAACAATCGCACAATTTACTACAATTTTATCTATATTATTATCATTTTTTCAATTAGCAACGAGTATACAACGTCGTACCGATGATTCGAACATTTTACTATGAATATTACGAGCCAACTACTTTCCACGTAACAATGTTTCTTTGCAAGCTTTATATGTCATACTCACAGTATGAAAATTATAATCGCGAGTGTACTTTAATTCGTGCAAAGCTATTTCGAAAATTTATAAAAATTCACTATACTCTACTGTTGCATCAGTCGGTATACAAATTTGCAAATATTACCGACAGATGAATTTTACGTAGCGAGAAAAGTAAATTAACTCTAATAACAATTAATTCTTATTTTTTCTTCTTTTCTTTTTAAGAATTCACCGAGCTTCTACTTGTACTTTCATTCATTATTAACTCTTCCTCTGATATGTTCCGATTCAATTCGAGATTCTCAACGTCTCAAAGTCATTATCTTTAAAAATAAATCAATCGATATTATGTCATATAGTAAACATTAATAAATATCTGTTATAGAAATTCAATGAATACAATTCAACAGTATTTCATGACAAACACTCGGTATATTTCATAATCCACTCGTTCTAAACCCGAGCAAAAACCGTGAGTGGAATAATTCATTCTTTCACGCAACACTAATCTATTAAATGTACGAAATAAAAAGAGTCTCAGAATCAATCGCGGTGAGTGCTCCATTTTATTTTCAATCTGAATTTACGAAAAAAAAAAGATAAAAATAGTTACCGTTAAACGCGAGAGCAGCCACGTTAGGGCGCTTTGGGCAATACGCAACACTAATCATCTATGCACTCTGTAATTTATAATACGCAACACTAATAACGAGGGATCCATGGCAGTCGTAGTCAGGGCAACTGCCCTGATCTCCTTTGGCGCAGCTCTTTCAGCGACTCCTGAAAAATTTGGGCATTTCG